TATGGTAACAGAAGGAGGCAAGCGTGCGAAGAACTCCGTGGGCAGCCAGCCCGGTTCCCAGTGACCACGGCCCAGAGAGGTTCGTGGCCTCGCTGTGATCTCCGTGGGAAACGTGGGAACTGCCACACCCACACCCCACGGGAACTGACATCGACGTGACGGGTCCTTCTCGGGTTCACGTGTCCGGGTCCGGATTGAGGCGGCGGGCACGCTGCTGGAACGCAGGGGAGGCTTCCGTGGGCGAGCCAGGTTCGGAACCACAGCCACCTGCTCCGTGCCCTGTGCCGTGCCCACACTCGGCCCTGGCTCCCAGTGCGGGGCAGGGGTTTCAGACAGTAAGGAGGGCTGGGGGGCTGGGGGTGCGGTGGAAATCTGTCAGGGTTTTAACGGCACCATCCAGCCGTGGGCTGTTCGTGTTGGGGGCTGCATAGCTCACCGTCACCGCTCTTCTGTGGCACCTGGGCGCCGTGCGGCTCACTAAAGGGCGTTTTGTATTGATTACGGGCAGGGCTCCTTCCTGCAAACGCCCACAGTGCTCCTCATCTGGATTCGAACAGCTGTCACAGCGGGTCAGCTCTCCCTCCACACGGCAGCCTCTCGAATATTTGGAGAGAGCTCCTGTTGCTCTCGGCCCGCACCTCCGATTCCGAAGACGGCCTTTCCTATCGCTTTGTTCGTCTCCACACCACCTGCCCCGCTCTGCCGCCCAGAAGGTGCCCGTGCCGATCTGTGGCTCTGACTTTCCGGGCTCCTGGGGTTCCCAGTTCTTTCAAAGACAGTGCTGCTGTTGACTGTTACTGTCTGCCAGGACCACAGCGGGTGGGCGGCGGCTGGTCGCCTGCCCCCCTATCCTGGGAAGGGGGACGGGTGCTCGGGGTATATGGTCAGGTGAGGTCTGGCCAGGCCAGCGTACGTGACCTTAGACGGGACACGAAATGAGTCTCCTAGTGCTACCGGCGTGGAGTGCAGACCCAGGGAGGGCGCCCTGGCAATGCCAGCGCCCACGGGGGTGACGCTGCACTGCTCGCATGGTGCATGACGACAGATTTCCCTACGCCCATGCAGAGGGGTGCCGGAGGAAGCCGTGCAGGGAGTGTGCGTGAGGCCACAGAGAGCAACGCACGTATTGAGAAAAGCCCTCGGACCCTCTTCCAGTCCCTGATTCAAGGGGGCGGAACCAGAGGGTGCAGTCAAGTGTACCGAAAGGTCAACGTGGTAGCCGGGGGCGGTGCCGTGCTGGGGTAAGGCCTGCCAGTTGAGCCGGGGAAAGCACGGGATTGGCTGGGGGAGCTGAACAGAAGTTTGCAGCCAGGGAGTTCCACATCAGGAAGGCGGAGACCCCTGTGGCTGGCACAGTGGCCCCCTGTGCACACGGCCAGCTGCAGCGGTCCGCAGGGGCCAGCAGCAGCCCCAGGACCCGGGCCTAGGAAGCCACGGCGTGGTGATGGCGGCACCAGCCCCACACGCAGCCTCCAGGGACCGTGAGGCCGGAGAGCCGTCCACCGAGCAGGCTCACGCTCTGAAGTGCAGATAAGGACGGACCAGGGCTTCTGGGCATGGTGTTTGGGTTTCAGTCTTTTGGGGGAATGGATGGGGTTTTTCTTCTGTGTTTGCAGGAAGAGACTGGCCTGGAGTCAGGGAGTCCCCCGCTCCCCCAAACTGTGCAATATCTAAATAAAAACCCCTTCTCTTTTCCACCAACCCTCATCTTCCCAATATGCTGGCGTCTGGATAGGTATCCGAGACAAACTTTGGCTGTGAACTGCGTTCGCACTATGCCTCCGTGCATTGCACGCACACCCAAACCCACACCCGTGTCTCGATGTGTGATTTACTCAGACACGTGGTTGGGGGGAGGGACCTACAGTTCACCGGGGTGCAATGAAACCAGGTGGCTTCTGCACGACTTTTAACCCCTTCGGGTGTGCGAGCAGGAATGGGCATGCCGCATATCACGCCGTGTATCTCTTCCCAGCTGGGAGGACTGGTTCGCACATATGTGAATTATCTGGGGGCTCTCTCCAGCTCCAGCCCCACCTGCAGGAGGCTAGAGTCACTGCTCCTGCTGAGAGCTCCCCTGGGCACCGAGAGGCAGCCGGTTTTGCCAGCGCGTGACCCGGGGTCAGGCCGACCATCAGAGGCAAAGGTTCAAGAGTCGATCTGCAAAGTGTCACGTCCACCCGAGACCCCACGTCACTTCCCTGCTCCCCTGGCAGTGACGAATTTCCTGTTCTCACTTTCTTCCTCGAATCCACTTCCCGACAGAAGGGCGCACGGGCATCTGTCTCCGCTGCGGAAGCGACTTTTCCATCCCCCCGATTTCCCTGAGCACATAACGTGCACTTCGTGGGACAAGACAGACCTCTCTGGGCGGACTCCTGAGGCACGCGGTGGTCGTGCGGGGAATTACCCCCTGAGTGAGCGAGACCGTAGCGGCTGCGCATGGAGTCGACCGCTTCCACAGCACTGAAGGTAACACCAGCCTGCAACAGGCGCGCCCACCTGTGGGCCCCGTGCGGAAATAGGCGACGCGCCCTTTACAACGCATTGAAGTCATCGGGAGTCTCTGAAACGGTCTGCTCGCGCTCAGTGGCATGCACACGTGGTTACAAAAAATGGCATAGAAACACACACACACGGATGTGCGAAGTGTACGAGTGTGTGAGCCCGAGCCCGGTGCGATCGGAAGGAACTCTGCGGGGGGGGGGGTGGGGGGCCTGGGGCCCGTTTCATGCTCCCTGTGCACCTCGGACACGGAAGCCTTCAGCTGGCTGCGTAGTGTGGGAAAAACAGACGCCGTGCGCTCTCACAGATGATGGCTGGTGAGCGCTGCTACAATGTAGCGTTTTATGGATACAGCCCGGGGGTCCGGGTCGGGGAACTTGAGGTTGCAAACTATGGATACAAAATGCACCACCCATGCATCAGCACCGAGAGTCGCAGGTGTGGTTCCGGCAGCCTGAGGTCCATTTGGTCGGAGTCCAGCACCAGCACCCTGTCCGCAGAGCGAGGTGCGTCTTCCGGCATTTCCCAGGCCCGCGCCGCGGCACTGCTCACCCTGGCGGGAAAGCTAGGCTGTTGGAATCCCCCCTGGCAGCCCGGGAAACGGTTCCTCTTTCTTGTGTTTTTTAGGCAAACAAGAAAAATGAGCCAGGTCCGGTGGGCAGGCTTCGGGACCCTTTATTACTGGATCAGCACGTACAAACGCTGCCATGAAAATGCTGTGTCGCAGAATCTCAGGCTACGTACAATACGTTTTTGTGGGGTTTTTTTACAATTTTTTTTTACAAGAGGACGTCTCTGAATAACATGTCAGATACACACAGAGAAATCAAACGTTTAGCACATACATAAATAAATATGGACTCCCAACGGCCCCCGGAAGGGGCGTGGTGTCTGCGGACCACGGGGATGAGAGTGTAGCGTCTGTTATCTGAGCCGGGTCACAGAATGAAGCAAATGAAAATAGTTCTCTTACATGCAGACCCCTGCTAATCACCTGTCTCACTCGCCAGAGCTTTCCGGAGAGGCACCGAACTCCGCCTGCTACGCCACAGGCGAGACGCCCCACCTCTCTGCCCCCTGCGGTGTTCCCGTGAGTTTGGAAGTGCACGCACTAGACGTGTGGCGTGTGCATCGCGGCCTCCACGCGCGAGTCTGCGAGAAGACGGACAGACACCTGGGGGCGTGGCAGGGAGTCTGTGCACAGGGGTCGGAAAGGGCGGGGACCAGCCAGTCGCTCCCACAGGGGACCAGGACAGGTACGTCCGACGTTCCTAGCTGCGCTTGCATGGGGCACACCCACGTTACAAATGCCACCTATTAGGCAGGTGTGTCGGTGGGCAGAAAAGACACAGTTGGGGGCTCTGAAGCCCCATGGAATAAGCTCCCGGCTGTCCCCCCTGCCCGGTGGGGGGGTCCTCCTACAGGGCAAATGCTCTTCTCACCGCTACGATGCAGGGGCTGCAAACCAGGGGCGACCGTCTCGCCCCACAGCGGGGGGAGGCGTTGGCAATGTCTGCAGGTGTTGTGGTTGTCACACCTTGGGGGGTGTGCTTCCTGGCTCTGGTGAGCAGAGACCAGGAGTGGTGCTCACCACCTCGCAATGCACAACGCCATCCCCACCGCGCCCAGGGCCATCCCTGCAACCCCCAGGGCCGTCCCTACAGTGTCCAGCACCTTCCCTGCCATGGACACCCGTCAGCCCCGCCACACATCAGCAGAGCCGCGGTGAGAACCCTCGCTGGACGCTTGGTTGCGGGTTCTGGTAGGTGTCCAGGACGCAGACGCCCTGGTGACCTTGGAATTCCGTTGGGCGAGCATTGGAACATGGGACCTGTCCTCACTGTGGGGTCTCCAACGGACCCCACGGAAGCTGTGAAGGGTTAGAAAGGGGGCGTGCGTTCCATTAGGAAAATCGCTCCGCGTGGCCGTACTTTGGAGGAGAGGGACAGGCGGGTGCATCCGCCGAAAAACGCTGAGGGTTGTGGGTGAAAAGCACGCCCACAGGTGCCCCGGGGATCGAGTCGGCCCCCGTATTGGGCGCGTTTGTGGTTGGACGGGCTCGATTTCTTTCCAGAGCAAAGGCTGTTCCTGAAGATACGAGGTTGGGCAAAAGCAGGTTTCCAGCCGTGAGGACACAAAACCAAGTTCATTCTCGTATCGTTTCCCACATGAGCTGCCGACCTGTTGTTGCCCAACCCAGTACTTCTTCATATGAGAAATGCACCTACTTTCCATAGAATGTATTAGAGATTTCACCGTGAAAACTGTTTTTATGAAAACATAGATGTTCATCCCTTCATGGGGGCACCTGGATTTTTATAACTCAACACACTGCAATTAAGGCCCTGGCTGGCATAGCTCAGTGGATGGAGCTTGGGCTGCGAACCAAAGCGTCGCAGGTTCGATTCCCAGTCAGGTCACATGCCTGGGTTGCAGGCCACAGCCCCCAGCAACTGCACATGGATGTTTCTCTCTCTCTCTTTCTCCTTCCCTTCCCTCTCTAAAAATTAAAAAAAAAAAAACACTGCAATTAAATTTTTTTTCTCACTTGACTACTACGGATGACTCCTGAAATGCATGAAAGAAGCTTATGTTTCTTTTGTTGTGTAATTAACAGCATTTTTCTTCCAGTAATAGTAGTGCAGTTTAATTGTAGTGTAATTACTGTCTATTATAGCAACATTAGAAGCCGCTAAGAGGACCTTGCGATTCCCTGGGGAAGATAAAAGCTTCAGACCTCCATTAGAACGAAGCATGTATTTGCTCAGTGTCTATTACGCAGACAAAAGAAACATCATTAAGTTTTATAAATTTAAACTTATATAACAAGAATATTTTTTTGTAGCCATGCACACACGCCCGCATGGTAAACTATACAAGTCTGCGAAAACTCGCTGGCAGGAATTCTGGGATTTGTTTGTGACAAATTAAGGGGGAAGATGACCTTGGGAAGTTGATCAGGACAACTCTTCATTTCCCAAGTCCTAGGAGTCAGAGATCCGGGCGCTGGTCGTGGCGGCAGGATACACGGTAGTGTCAGAGGCGCGCCTCTGTGCCGTGGACCGAAGATGGGGTGGGCGGCGGAGGGGTGGGGCATTTAAAAGAAGGCCCGTCCTGCTCTCCGGGGTAAAAAGGGGTCATTCTCGGATGGGCTGACTTTGCACCCCTTGCAAGAAGCACATCCCAGACCACGTTCAGGTCAGAACGGGCACCCGCTGCCACTCTGAAGTCCCCCTCCACGGCGCCCCCTGCAGGCAGGCGCACCACCATGAATTTGGACACGTGGGGCGTGGTTCTCTGTCTGCTCTCCGGCCGCCAGCTCCGGGGCTGCGTCCTAGAGACGACAGGGCGGGGCCCATGGGCCCGTGGACAGCCTCTCTCTGCCATGTGTCACACCCGCAAGGAGACGCCAGCCGCGGGTGCTCTGAGCAGGGGTTCGGGGGGGGGGCTGCATCCCCCACGTGCCTGGGGGCGCCGTCACCAACTAGGACCGGTCCTACCGCAGAACCTCATGGGAAGGTTCCCGAGAACGTCCTCGATCCTGGCGGGTGGGCCAGGACACGAGGAAACCGTTGTCTTCCAAATGCGTCCTTCTGGTAAACCGCTCTTTTCTCCTAGAATGGACACGGGTGGGGAAAGTGGGCTGTCCGTGGGGCCTGTGGGAGAGCTGTGTGTCTTTCTGCACCGCCGGGGAGCTGCCCAAACGATCTCCTCAGGGTGCACGTGGTATACCTCCACCTGTGTGTGTGTGAGTAGACACACGTGGACACACGCCTGTAACTGTGCAGGCACACTCATGTGCTTAGGCCACACCACGTACGTGGGCATCATCATCGCCTTAACAAACAAGGCTGCGACTGGACATTTCTGGGACGGAGGTGGCCTCACTACACACGGACAACACGCTACGACACGTGTTCCTGCGGTCACGCACGGGGTAGCTGGCAGCCTGGGACACTCGCCAGCGGGAATGTGGAGCAGGTTGGGGGCAGCAAAGGCTGGAGAGAGGGACACAGCTGTGTTCTCGCGAGGAGAGCCCCCTCCCCGGGGCCTGCCACGGAGACCACAGACAGGCTCAGGGCGCTGGCCCAAGGCGGGTCTCGGTCAAGACTGGGACGCTCTCACGCTCAGCAGGAGGGTTCGTCCGCTTTCACACGCGTGAGGTGGAGAGCAAAGCGAAGCGAAGCAGCAGCCGTGTCCATGAAGGAAAAGGGGAGCATAAATAAGAAAGCGTGCCCGGGGGAAATCTCTCGGGTTATGGGTCGAGACAGGAGACAGCGGCCCAGAGAAGCGCTTTCGTTTCCGCAAGGTAAACCCTGGACACCGGCTCCTTCCCCGCGTCCCTCCTGCTTTAGACGGGGCTCAGCCATCGTAATGGACCGACTGAACTCTCAACGGTCTTTGTATGCAAGAAACCATGCGGTATTTAAAGGGGGGACACTTTTAGATGCACGCGACCTCGGCACACTTCAGGTTAAAATTTTCTGCCACCACCCACGTGTAATAACAACCACCTTGGGCGACACTCGACGAAACAGGGCCTGCACACGGCGTCGCCTCAGCTGGCCCTGCAGCCCCGATCAATAATTTAATCGGACGCCTGTGTGGATGCACAGCAGGCTGCATCTGCGTGTGGCCTGTGCGCAGGCCACGCGGATGCGTTCTGAGATCTTGCCGCGTGCGCGCGGGACGCAGGGGAACGCCCGCTCTGTGTTGGCTCCGTGGAGACGAGCAGACGCGTCCGTGGAGGTGGACAGGAAGCCCCTGGGCAGCTGGGCTTCGTCTGCGCTTCCCGTGCGCTGCCGGAGCCCTGCAGGCCTCGCGGAAGGAGACGGGTGACCTGGGGGAGGGTGGAGCTGCGGGAAGGAATCGCTGGGCTCCTCCCAGTGCGAGGCGAGCCCCACGTCCGTCTGTCCGGGCGGCGGCCAGCGGGCTGGCTCCTGGGCGCACGCGCCTCTGCGGGCGGGTTAGTGTCTTTCTGGGGGAGACTTGTGAGGGTGGGGGTGGCGGTGCTTCAGGACGGGCCCTGCGGACACACGGGAGACACCGCAAGGTCACCGCGCCTCCTACGCGCGCGCGGTCCTGAACTTCAAGGGACGCCCCCCCGGCGGCTCACTGTCCCTTCCTCCAGTCCCTCTCCCTCTCCCCTCCTTCGCGGGGGAGAACCACACACCCCAGGAAGAAAAAAGACTGCTCCTGCCCCGAAGCTCACAGTTTCTATAAGCAACCCGACAGGAGGAAGGACCGTGAGCCCTCGGCCACAGGGGTAGATGTCGATTTCCTTCAAATTCTAAACATTAATCAGCATCGGGGCCTACTCCATCTGTCACTTTTAAAAAAAAAATCAGAAGTTAAACTAGGATGACTTCTCGATTATTTTATGAACACACAAACCATTCGATGTGGCCTTTTCAGTTTATGTATTCATCCTCACCCAAGGACACGCTTAGAGGGGAGAAGGGCGGGAGAGGAAGACGGAGAGAGACATCCATCGGCCGCCTCTCTCACACACCCGACTGGGGATCGAACCCACGACCCGGGCATGGGCCCAGACCGGAATCGAATCCCTGACCGTTTGGTTTTCTGCATGGCGCTCCAACCTGCTGAGCCACCCCAGCCAGGGCCAGAGATGTGGCATTTTAAATGTAAGCTGCATAAAAATAAACAAAATACTAGCCCTGGCTGGTGTAGCTCAGTGGATTGAGCGCGGGCTGCGAACCAAAGCATCGCAGGTTCGATTCCCAGTCAGGGCACATGCCTGGGTTGCAGGCCATGACCCCCAGTAACCACACACTGATGTTTCTCTCTCTCTCTCTTTCTCCCTCCCTTCCCTCTCTCTAAAAAGACAAATAATAATAATAATAAATAAAATTTTTTAAAAATTAAAAAAATAAACAAAATGCGTCTTTAAAAATCAGCCCGACGCTACTAGTTTTTGTACAGCAGGTAACACTTCTTTTTTTTAAAGAAAATGTTACTGGATTTAGCCAGATGGATTGGGGTTATAGTTTAAAAAGAACTCATGGGATATATTCCCTTATAATATGTGTACGATAAGAAAATACGTTCCTTAGCAAAAGAGTGTGTCCTATAGTGTCACTTTTGAAAATGCAAATTTTGAAAAAAATTCCTGATGGATAGGATTATAGATTTTTTTTCCCACATGCATGTATGGTTTGAAAGAGAAGGAAATGGCCTCCACGATATACAAAATCCATGGAAGGAGAAAGAAGAAGGGAGGAGAGAAAGAAGAAAGGGGAGGAGAGAAAGAAGGAGGGGTGGAGGGAGGGAGAAAGGAGCAATGAGAACTCAGCCACGCGACTTCTGGCAGACGGAGGCCCCGCAGGCGGACGGAAGCGGGGAGGAAGAGCCCTGAGACAGAGAGGACCCCGTGGCCCAGGAGCCTGCGCTGACTTGGGTGAGCCTTGCACCCCACCCACTCTCGGTCGGTGGGTCGGGAAGACGCGGCGGGCTCTTACTGTGCACCGCCGGCAGCAGTGGCGGGTCGGGCGTCCGGAAGGTCCTGACGGTGGCGGGCCCCTCCCCGCCTGTGGTCAGCACCTGCACCTCCAGCCGGTACAGGGTGGACGGCCTGAGGTTGGACACCGTGAGGACATTGTGGTCCTGAGGGGACACAAGACGAGAGGCGGCGGGTCGGACGGTTGGAGAAACGGCACACGCAGGGATGCGTATTTGGGGACCAGTTCTCCCCCCACACCGGACCCCCGTGGAATAGTGGGGACACCGTGGCTCCTACACGCGTCCATTGCGCGGTGTGTGGGCAGCCAGCCCAGTCCCTGGTGGCCTGAGACCCCAGGCGGAGCCCCGCCTTGGGGGGCGCCAGATCTCGGGGCTCACGATTCACTCCTTTCTGCCAGTCTTTCCCACGCCCCCCGTCACCACTGGCAGACGCCATGACATGCATGCTCGATCACCCCGATTTCCGTGCCCTTCGAAGGCACAGTACCTGCCAGAGCCTTCGGAAGCATGTGTGTGGGGGCCCGCACCCATCGACAGAACAACGGCTTTCTCATCTCATGGAATCTTTCCTTCTGGGGCTTCAGTTGTGTTTTATTTTTTTTTTCTCTTCCTTTCTGGAGGCCAGACTAGGGTACAGCGAGGGCGTTTGGAAGGAGGGCGCAGGCCCACACACACACACGCAGGGGGCGTTTATGTCCGAGCCGACGCATGAAATGGCCGGGACGACCGGCCGCACGGGGCCCGGGCAAATGAGGGGAAGCCACGAGGTCACTTTTAGCTCTTCTCTCCCCAGTGGACACTGCTCCCCGGGCATGCCCGCTTGGCCTCGAGGGACGGAGGGCCAGCAAAGGCCGCAGAGACAGGGAAGGGACTTGTCTCCAGTGGAGACGGGCCCCGGGCTCTACGATCCGGAGGGGAGTTGGTTCTGCTCCCCGGGAGAGCCTGGTCGGCTCTCTTGCAAAATCAAGCGTTTACGAGGAGAGACGGCGGAACTCAATGATAACCCGGCGTGTGGTGACAGAGAGCGCGGACGCTGGCGGTCCCTGGGCGCAGCCGGGGAGGCAAGCGCAGGGCACCTACCGCGGGCAGGACCTGGGACCGGGACACGACGCTGTTGGGCAGGCTGTTCTGCCGGCTCTCCGCGGTCGTCACCTCCGCCCACGTCACCTGCAAGCCGGTCCGCGGCGGGGACGGGGACGGGCCGGCCGGGGCCAGCGCCCAGGAGAAGCGGCCCGTGACGTTTGCGTCCCGGATGGCGAAGGAGGCGGACAGGTTCTCCGGCTTGGCCAGCACTTTGGGCGGGACGTGACCTGCAGGCATTGAAGGGGGAGGAGGAGCAGGGTCAGGTTCCCGGGGACGGAGCGGAGGCGGCCCCTGTCTGACGCTCCGGGCAGCAGTGCTGGGCAGAAGCCACGAGACCTCGGTGGTCCCTCTGAGCAGCTCCAGGCGCTCTGCTCTGTCATGCACGGATGGTGGGTGAGCAGGACCCCTCCCCACCCTCACTGCACAGCTTCCTGCCAAGGGCTCCTAACCGTGTGGGGCTGTGTTTTAGAATCCGGCCGTGTGGAGGGGAGACAGAGGAGGGATTCTGAGGTCTGGTGAGGCCTGGCCATTGCCAACAGAACGGACATGACCACCATGGAGAGTGGAGAGACTGCGGTTATTACGAGTTACTAGGGGAGCCAAGGGGACTCGGTGCTTTGCAGGGGCCTGGGAAGGTAGTCCTCACGGCTGACAAGGCCTTTCTCAGGACAACGGGATGAAGGGGAAGGCGAAGGGTGTGGACAGTGTGGATTGACAGCCCACACAGGGAGGGGCAGGATGAAAGTGGAATCGCCCCCGTAAAGCACGCCCAGACACAAGCAGCCTACCGGCATTAGTCTTTGCATGTAGAAGGACCACATCGCCGGCCAAGGGTGTCTTTGCAACACTGTAACCATTGTGGAATCATGCATCACATGTACATATGCATTATTGGTTACAGTGTTGCAACCATTCATAAATGTTTCATATCCATCTACGGAAAGCCTCCACACTGGGCTGTCGCCTGGCCATTCAGACACTGGGGTACTCTCTGTCCAGGGGTGCTGTGAAAGCACACGGGACACGTTTGCAGAGTGGCCAACAGACACCGAGGCCGGGTGCTCAGAAGCCCAAGCCCGACGCACCTGCGTGTGCGTGTCCGTGTGCGGGGCAGCTGGCGTGCCCGCGGCTTTTCCCCTCCAGCGCGGAGCAGGGCGGCGTCCTGAAGAAGACCGTCTGTGCCTTCAGGCGCCCCTTCGGCCCCGCGGGCTGCACGGCGACCTTGTACTTGCAGGAGAACGACAGGTCTTGCAGAATGATGTAGTTTTCCTGGAGCAGGAGGGAGGAATGTGGGGGCAGTGAGTGTCACTGGGGGTGAAGGAAACACTGGCAGGCGATGAGGTCGGCTCCAACAAGGACATCTGCCTACACATGCCATGGCCGCAGTGTGGCTCTGATGACGAGGACGCAGGAGGCCCTGCCCACGCTTTGAGGAGCCAGCCCTGGGGAGCCGCCTCCCTGGCCGGACCCGCCGGGCAGGATGAAACTGAATCGCAGGAACCCGCCTCAGAGCAGCCACGGGAACCCTCGCCGCCAGCGCGGACGGGGCCGGGCAGCCCTGAGGACCACTCTCAGTATTTCCGGGAGCCAAGAGCCACCTCCGGCTTCTGCCAGACACAGCTTTGCTTGTCTGCTGATTTTTCTTTCCGGAAAAACGAAGGCACGCTCTCGCGCCAAGTTCTCCCCCTTTGGGGAGGGCGGTCACTGAGGAGGAACCGCGGAAGCGTGCCGAGGGGAGGGACTGGCCCTCTCCCCACAGGTGACGCAGGTGAGGGGAACGGACTGCAGTTAGCAGCCAAGAGGGACCAGGGGCCACTGTGCCTGCCTCATCTCTCCCTCGTCAAGGGTTTGCACTTTATGGAGGAACATACTGGAACCCTGAGTGAGGGGCCGATACTGCCTATGCTACATCGATGCTCAGGAAGTGGTCACGGTCATGTCCAGAGTCTGTGAGGATGGTACACCCAGGGTGTCTGGCCCCTGGATTCCTCCTTGTCCAACGTCAGCTCCTTTCTTTCTTCTTTCTTTCTTCCCCGCCCCCCGTGTCTCTGTCTCTCTCTCTCTCCCCCTTTCTTAGTCAAGGTCACAACTGATAGGAAGAGGTTAAGGATAAATGGAAAGAACATCTTAGGTAGAACAGCTCAAATCCAGAAAAAAGAAAGAAAAAAAAGGTGTGCATTTCTGCAAAGCCAGTGACGAGTTTTGTCCTACCATCTTCAAGTTATGTGGTAACATGGGATTCTCAACATACTGCACTTGTTGCTCTAGAACATGTTCGAAAGAGAAATGTCACCCTGGTTGGCGTAGCTCGTGCAGTCGATGGAGCACGGGCTGCGAACCAAAGCGTCACAGGTTCAATTCCCAGCCAGGGCACATGCCTGGGTTGCAGGCCATGGCCCCCAGCAACTGCACGTGGATGTTTCTCTCTCTCCCTTTCTCCCTCCCTTCCCTCTCTAAAAATAAATAAATAAAAATCTAAAATAAAAAAAAAACTTCAGAAAAAGAAATGCCATGGTTCAGTATCACCCATCAATCCGTCGTTCCGAAGGGGCCGTGCCTCGGGGACGGGAAGGGGCCCTCCCGTCCCACGTGCAACTGGCTGCCGTCACCCCATGCACTCAGTGTCCCGCTGAGCCTGCCCATGGTTTGCTGACGCAGCCCGCAGCTCCTGCCCCCACCCCACCCCCAGGCATTTGGAACAGTGCACCGAGCATGTCACATAGACTCCCAATCTCCCTGGAGTGTCATGGTCTCCTGAAGTCGAAGAAACACAGCCGCACGGGCACGGGACGGGTGGCGTCTGTTCTTCCTGGGGGGGCTGGTGGCAGCTGGGCGTGCAGCCAAGGGAGACACTGAATCGTGGGATCACCTAGAGCTTTGCTGGGAAATAATACCTTTGGGTCATGGTGCCAGTTGAAACTCAGGAAATAATTCAGAGCTTTTGTCCAGTGAAGATGAAGCACAGAGACCAGAGCAGCTCCCTGAGACCCGGGTGCTCCCTGAGACCCAGCTGCTCCTTGATACATGGGTGCTCCTTGATACATGGGTGCTCCCTGATACATGGGTGCTCCTTGATACATGGGTGCTCCCTGAGACCTGGGTGCTCCCTGAGACCTGGGTGCTCCCTGAGAGTCCCCCTGGGTGCTCCCTGATACATGGGTGCTCCTTGATACATGGGTGCTCCCTGAGACCCGGATGCTCCCTGAGACCTGGGTGCTCCCTGAGACCCGGGTGCTCCCTGATACATGGGTGCTCCCTGAGACCTGGGTGCTCCCTAAGACATGGGTGCTCCCTGACACCTGGATGCTCCCTGATACATGGGTGCTGCCTTGAGACCTGGGTGCTCCCTGAGACCCGGGCGCTCCCTGATACATGGGTGCTCCCTGAGACCGGGGTGCTGCCTGAGACCCGGGTGCTCCCTGAGACCCGGGGGCTCCCTGACACCTGCACTCGGCCCCGCTGCATGCCGACAAGGCATAAGCTGTCGAGGACGGTGGTGAGCAGGCGGAAGGCAGAGGGGGCAGGGGGACCGTCACGTTTCCCATCTCCCTCGAGTCGCCGGTTCCACAGCGAGTCTGTGAGCTGGAGGCGCCCACGGGCCAGACCACGGACACGCATCCCGCGGAGCAGTGTTACGCTCAGACCCCGGGAGTGCGCCGACTGCTGGGAACGGGGCGGCCTGAGCGCGGACTCACCTGCGTGGTGGCCGTCGAGGACTCCGGCCCGGCGGCGGTGCGGTTGTGCGCGCAGACTTCCGGGAGCCAGTGCACATGGTAGCGATTCACGCCGGCATCTGCAAGGTCAGGACACAGCGCAGAAACAGCGGTCAGGAACCCCAGGCCACTCAGGGCCACGGTCTCCACGCGGGGCGGCAGGGAGAGCGAGGAGGAAGCTCAAGTCCTGCCGGGGGTGCCCCCCCCTGCACCCACCCCCCAGAAGGGGCACGCACTCGGGGGTCCCGCCTCCTGGGTACCGTTTCGTCAGTAAGACTGGAGTCAGCCACAAGTGTAACCCACTGAGCCCAAAGAAACCCTTTGCAATACGAGAACTAGATAGAAAAAAGTTATTAGTAAGTCTTAGCAAAATAACTCCACTGATGTGTCTTTTTTTAATGCTCACCGGAGGACTTGCTGGTTGCTTTCAGAGAGAGAGAGAGAGAGAGAGAGAGAGAGAGAGAGAGAGAGGAGAGAGGGAGAGGAGAGGAGAGGGAGAGACAGAGAGAGAGAGAGAGGAGACAGAAGCGCCCTGTGCTCTGTTCTCCAAACCATTTCTGTTGTGGGCGTTTTGGAAAACAGACACTTCACGGAAAACAGCAATTGCAGGGCCGACGGATGGGCACGTCGCCCGCTGCGGGCGCGAGCCCAGCCTCGGAGAAAAGAAGAGAGGGTCGCTCGGGAGCCCTGGCGGCCAACACTTCCGCCGTGAGTGCTGCTGGTCTCAACGGGTGGCACGGACTCCTGGGTGGGAGAGCCCACTGGCGCTCCAGAGGAACAAGGCTTTCAATTTATTTCATTATTTTATTTTATTTTATCATTTTTTCATCGCTCAAGGATGTTTTTATCATTTTTAGAGAATGAGCAACAGAGAGAGAAAGAGACAGAAAGAAGGAGACAGAAACATCCATGGGTCGCCTCCGCGTGCACCCCCGCTGGGGACAGAACCCACAGCCCAGGTGTGTGTCCTCACCGGGGTTCAACCCCGCACCCTCCTGCTGCACAGAGGGTGCTCTAACCCGTGGAGCCCCCCGGGCAGGGCAGAACGGCCAGGCATTCAACACAAGCCAGTGTCCTATCCAGCTGCCGCTCCCCCCCCACCGCTGAATCCACGCCGCGTGGCCCGACCCCAGCTCCCCCAAAGGACACGCCCATGCCCGGGGGCATCAAAGCCCGTGGCGGACAGCCGGCGCCCTGGGCATACCTTCAGTCTTCTTCCAGTACACCTTGACCTGCAGCTGGCCATCCTGGTAGAAGGGCGCGCCGATCTCCAGCAGGCGAGGGGGGCGGCGTCCCTGCAGGGCGGCCTGTGCCCCCAGCACGCCCTTCCTGCTCTTCCCGGGGTGTCCTTCTGCAAGAAAGCACAGCGCTCTGGTTTCCTCAGGGGGTGGGGGGGGAAGGATCGCAAGCCCTGCCGTGGGTCCCAGGGGATGCGACATGCCGGCGAGTCCTTCCCACTCACTGCCCGCACCCTGCCGTCCGATGTGAGGCCCCTGCCTGGGAACCACCCTGCAGGACCCACAGTTCTCACAGATGCGACCCTCCGAGAGCCCGAGGGCCCTCACTGTATTCCCCGGCGCTTGAGGGAGGCCCTCGCTGAAACCACAGGTACGGGCAGCGTTTCTTGTTGTACAGTTTTTGCAGCGGGGAAGGCAGTCAACCAAGGGGTATGCAACACCGTTTCCAGAAACGGTAGAGAGAGGTTCTCGCAGAAGTGCCGTCAGCAGCCGCCCTTCCCAGGTACCCGGCCCTCGGTGGGAAGGTGGTTCAAGTTGGTGACATTAGCCTCAAAGGGCAGAAGTTCCATCAACCCAGTGGCTTCGTGAGCAGCCTCAGCAGCCAGCAGCCGAGCTGGGTGCTGGTTGGAGAGTGACAGACACCCACACATGGAGTGGTGTTAACAAGAAATATTAGCCCTGGCTGGCGTAGCTCAGTGGATGGAGCTCGGGCTGCGAACCAAAGCGTCGCAGGTTCGATTCCCAGTCAGGGTACGTGCCTGGGTTGCAGGCCACAGCCCCCAGCAACCGCACATTGATGTTTCTCTCTCTGTCTCTCTATCTCCCTCCCTTCCCTCTCTAAAAATGAATAAATAAAATCTTTAAAAAAAAGAATGTGAAAACAGTCCCTTGGTCTCACACCGCTCCCTCCCTGCCGCCTAGTGCTGCAATTGCACGGTTAGCAATTCTGCCCTGTGGCGTAAGAGTCCTGTGCTTGGCGAACTCCCGGTGGCCCTTGGAGAGAGAACAGGGTGTAATCTTTATTACGAAGGAGATAACTCAGCACCGGCCAGATGGGAGAGGCCGGGGCAAGGAGTGTGGAAGGGGCAGACGGGTAGCAAAGCTCCGTGCCCATCTCGGGCACCCCACTCGCCCCAGATCTCACGTGGTCAGCAACCCCAGACGCTGCAACCCCGCCCTGGCATTCTTATGGGGACTTCATGACACAGGCCTGATTAACCCCGGTCCTTGGAGATTCTCCCCGACATCCAGCCCCTCTCGCCTCCCCAGAACGGGGTGGGGGGAGGGACTGAGAGTGCCCACCCTCTCACCGCACAGCAGGGCCGCCCACTCCCGTCTTTGTTGCCTCCGGAAGCCAGCTCATTGCCACAGCCAAAAGCACCTTCGTCCCTCTCCAACTTAGGAAATTCCAAGCGTTTTGGGAGCTTGTGTCCCGAAAGCATGACAGAGGGCCACACACAGATGAGTGACTCTGAACCACCGACCCCGGCCATTTGTACTTGGCAGAGGTGGAAGAATACTCCAGTTACAGGGGGCAACTCTACAACCCTTGGAACCTGTCCACAGTGGAACTACCCCTCTTGCCTCCGAAAAAGCAAGGTGCATTTGCACAAAGACAGTGGGAGGCCCTTCTCCCCCCGGGGCACCGTTTCATGAAAGCTCCCACCTTTCCCCGCACGGGACTGTTTACCAGTAAAACACCCAGCCGTGGCCGGCGCACCTGGAAGGGCGTGATTCGCTACGCCATTTCCGTGCTGGCATTCACGGCTCTGCCTCCCATAAAGTGTAACGCCCCTGGCCGATGCCGTAAAGCGGTAATGACTCCTCATTTCCAGCCGGTTCCCCATGACACACGGAGTGTCCTTGTACCGGTCGTGCCCTCGTGTTTACGAGGCTGTAGATCGCCGCACGGCTGTGAAACCCTGACGTGTGCTCAGCTCCACCCTGCGTGCCCCCGGTGCGCAGCGGGCCCCTTCTGCGGGCCCCCCACCCCTACCCCCAAGACCGGAGCGATGTGTGTTCTGGCAGGGGCTTGGAGCCCCGGGTTCTGTTTTTCATTTCCTTCTATTACGCTTCTGATCTGCGTGAGAGGAGTCGGTTCATCTTTACAACAGAACGGTCTTGGAGAGGTTAAGAGGGTTGGAATGTGACGGAAACACTAAGAATGAGCCTAATCCTGGGGGGGTTGGCCGAGGTTGCAGGGAGGAGGGGCGTAAGTGGGTTGCGGCTGCAGGTAAGAGGTGAACCAGGTGGTTGAGGCCGCAGGTAGGAGGAAGTGAAGAGTGAGCGACAGTTTCGCACATGCCTATAGGGGCCATCCTGTGGACGATGCACAGGCTGAGGCTGCAGGTAAGACATGAACCAGGTGGTTGAGGCTGCAGGGAGGAGGTTAACCAGGTGGTTGAGGCCGCAGGTAGGAGGAAGTGAAGAGTGAGCGACAGTTTCGCACACGCCTCCAGGGCCATCCTGTGGACGACCACAGGCTCGTGCTCCACGGAGGAATGCACGAGGTGCACCCAGACAGACGGTCCGTGCTCTCTGAGCGACCCGAGAGCTCAGTTCCGGGGATGCAGTTTTCCGAGCAGGAAAGAGGTACATGAGGCCCCACACATGGAGCTCCCACCGTGCTGTGGAGAAGGGAGGGTGCCGCCCCTCACACCGTGGAGCACCTCACGGGGTGGGGGAGGGGGCGGGCCCATGTCCTCTGACGGGTCAAGGTGAGGGGGAAGGTTCCTAACCGCAGCCGAGAGGCTGGGAGGAGAAGGGCTCAGTGAGCTCACGGGGCTGCGTGTACACACTGAGTGGTGGAGAAAGAGCAGAAACAAGGCTACTGGTTCACAGGTCATTCCAGCTGCATAAGAAAGCGGTGGCCTGAAAGGGGAAGGACGGGGCCGGCCCCACAGAGCACGAGGACTGAGGGACAAAGGGGGTGTCTGGAGAACCGGGTCTGGGAGCGAAGGGAAGGACAGGGAGGAGAATGGCATTCCCATCTCAGCTGCAGCGGAACGTGGAGCCCGGCGCGGTGGTGGGGGGACCTGGGCCAGGACCCGGTGTGGGAGCGAAGGAAGAGTTTGGGGACGGTGCACTCTGGTCCCTGTGGAATCGTGCTCACACGTCTGCCTCCCAAGTTCAAGGGCAGGGACGTGGAAGGCCCAGGTGGAAATGAGTTTAGGGCTGGCATGATGGCGTGTGTGTGCGCGTGTGTATTTGCACACAGGTGTGTGCTCACAGTGAGAGCACCGGCTGCATGAAGTCCCCACATCCAGCACCCCCTCTCCCCGCACCGTCCGCCGCCCGATGGCTGGCCCCGTGGCACATGGGACACCGGTGAATCGGAAGAAGGCACTTACTGTTGCCGGCAGCGTGTGAGGGGGTGAAGCGCAGGGCGACCTTGGCACTCTTGAGGCGCGTCTGGCCCCAGTAGGCGACGGCCTGCAGCTCCGCCGTGTACTCCCAGCCCGGCTGCAGGCTGTCCAGGACCACGGAGCTCTGGGTCTGCAAACGGAGGACACCCGGCCCGCCCTTGAGAAGTCGCGCCCCAGGCACCCTGGCTCCTCCCTCCCGCTGGCCGCCCCTCCTCTAAGCTCACATGCGTCTCACTCGTGCTGAAGACCTGAAAACCCCATTTAGCTCTGGCTCCGAATGAGTTTCCTGGAAAGGTTGTTGGAGATGGTGTTCCCAGCCCTCTCGAGGGGCAAGGGCCACGAAGCATCCTGGCGATGCCCCTTTGCAGAGGGCCCGCCTCGCAGGGACAGTGGGGCTGCCTGGGGTGAAGTCACAGAAGCTCAGCTTTACGATGCCGCTCCCAGGAGCCTCGGAAACGGGATTCGCTGTGGGACGGCGGTATTCTCTCCCAGTCCCCTGCGGGCGCATGTCCACCAAGCGCCGAAGGAAAGCGTCAGCCTGACAAAACGCTTTCCCGCGATCCCGCCACCATCTCTGTTCGTGTCTCAGCATTTGTCCGATGTTCTTCATCTTTTAAGCTCCGGCGCTCCTGCAGACGGTGCCGGTCCTGCATCCTTCTGGGCGAGGTTTCTGCTCGGGCTGCGTACCCCTCTCTGTGCACGGCGGTCCTCAAACAAGGGAACTGAAACAACCCACTTGAGAAAGAGCATCTCCTTGGGAACCTGTCCTCGTGGTTACCAAGGACGTCAGGGTGGTGTCTCGGCCAACGAGAAGCCACTGATTGCCAGGAAGAAAATGCCATAGTTTCTCAGATTCGTTGGCATCTTCCTAATTTCTTATCCTGATTCTCCTTTCTCGAGATGTCAGTGTTGGGGACATTAGTGATTCCCGGGGCCTGCAGCAGCCTGCCTCTTGTGGATTGATCGCAAAATTCGTCCTTCATGAGGCGGTGACGGGTGGTGTGTGCCCCTCTGCACCCATGAACAATCCAGGTGAACTGTGCCGTTCACGTCTGGTCTCGTTGGTGTATCACAGGAAGACACTGCAAATTTCCCTACTGATTTCCTGATGGTGCTTGGTTCGTAGTGCACATGGCATCCGGCAGTATGCTCTCATGGTGTATCTTTCTCTAAATTCCATTGATTGTGGCCCTGGCCAGGCAGCTCAGTGGGTTAGAGCATCGATCGTTCCGATACATCAAGGTTGCAGGTTCAGTCCCCGGCCAGCAGGGCACATACAACAATCAAGTGATACATGAGTAAGTAAGTGGAACAACAAATCAATCTCTCTCTATCTCTCTCTCTCTCTTTCTCAAATCAATCAATATATAGATTCTTGTGATGGCAGGAATCTCTTTCTAGATCAGCGTGTGTTAACAACTCTTATGTGCGGCAAAGTCCATCCAAGGTGCAACTGCCGTTAAGTTTCTTAAAAATAAAACCTCAACAGCCTGGCTGGTGTAGCTCAGTGGACTGAGTGTGGGCTGCAAACCAAAGTGTCGCAGGTTCGATTCTCAGTCAGGGCACATGCCTGGGTTGCAGGCCACAGCCCCCAGCAACCGCACATGGATGTTTCTCTCTCTCTCTCTCTTTCTCCTTCCCTTCCCTCTCTAAAAATAAATAAATAAAATCTTTAAAAAATAATAAAAATAAAAAATAAAACCCCAACAGGATCACAGCTAAATATCAGCGATGCCTTTGGGAGACATGTTTTACAATCCTGCATGGCACAAGTCACAGAATCTTCCGTTCCAAAAAAAAAAATTTTTTTTTGGCTATCCTTTTTGAGACACTTTCAAACATGTACCTACTTACAAAACTGAACTTGAGAAATTCGGGGGGGGGGCAGGTGTTCAGGTCAGCTGGAGAACGACACGATAAAGGAGGGTATCCCGAGAGGAAACCTGCTCACTCCCTCCACGCCCAGCATTTCGTGGGGTGCCAACTGGTCACGACCCTGCCGTCCATCTCCCTGGAGAAAGTGTGGCCATGGATATTTTATCTCTCAGCCCCCGGGGACGACGGCCTTCCGCGTTCTGTTCGCCGGCGAGAGAAACGTGTTGTCGCACGCACACGCGTGTCCTGCGCTCTTTCCTGTCCTGCTGATGGCATTACGGTGAAGGCATCCTGCAACACGGAAGCCAGGGAGGTCCGCCCTTCGATCTCCAGGGCTCTCCCACCAATGAGGTCGACAGACCCGCGTGGGAGGGACTTTGTGCACCGTATCCTTCTCCACGACCAGACGCGTGAGGTGAAGGTAAGTTTCGTTCCTCTGGTTTCCAGGGTCCAGACCGTCCTTTGGACGTGAGTAGATCCATGGGCCCCATTCCATGGGCTTCAGAGGGTTTGGGTGCCTGGCACAGGGCTGCGTGCCAGACCCTCCCGGCTCCCGATGGGAGGCGTGGGACCCGGCCTACCATCCACTCCCTGTCCCAGCTCCACACACGCCCCAGCTCGGACCCTCCACCTGGAGGTCGCGTGCCCCCCTCCCCCCAAAAGACACCCCCTTCCCCCCACCCCCTCCAGCTCTCACTCACGCCATCCGCGGTCTTCCTCCGCTTCTTCCTCGTGGGGACGAGGGCCTTGCTGCCCACGGTCCAGCTCCAGAACACTTTGTAGTGGTGCACGGGGACGTCTGCCTCCTCGGGGACGTCCCACGCCAGGGTCACGGTCGCCGTCCCGTCGCTGTGGGTGCTGGCGTTGGCCAGCCGCAGGTTGGCCGGAGCCGGAGGGGCGGATGGGTCTGCAACCCCGGGGCGGGGGGGGGGGACACACATGTGAGGGCCCAGGGCGGCACACACAAAGCACACGTCTCTGCGCGTGTGCTGACCACGGGGTGCCCGCACGGCGGGGCGCTGCCCTTCCCGGGTCCCCCAGCCGCGGACAAGCGGGAAGGAGGATCTCCCTTTCAGCCTCCAACTCACAGGCACTAGAACCCTGCCGCGCATGTCCACCACGCGGCAACCCAGCCAAAGCAGCCTGGTAGCAAAAATAGACACATTTCTATAAACACGGTAGAGTCCAACGTAGGCCGGTTGGCCTTCAATAGGCAAGCAGGGTAGCCTAGTCTTGTGAGGGACGCCACTATTTCCCTTTGTACGTAAATGGGGCAAAAAGTAGGAAGGGGCACTGGTGCGTTAGGCCGTGACAGGACTGGCCATTTCTTTTTTTTAATATATTTTTAAAGATTTTATTTATTTATTTTCAGAGAGGGAAGGAAGGGAGATAGGGAGAGAGAGAAACATCCATGTGCAGTTGCTGGGGGTTATGGACTGCAACCCAGGCATGTGCCCTGACTGGGAATCGAACCTGCGATGCTTTGGTTTGCAGCCTGTGCTCAATCCACTGAGCTACGCCAGCCAGGGCTAGGACTGGTCATTTCAATTTCTTCAGGCTGAAGCCAGTTTTTCTCCTCCAGCACAGGGTCAAAGGCAACAGAGAGAGTTTAAGTAAGTGACTGTTGAAATTACCCCAACCTCTGGCCTTTTCACTGCCAGCAAAAATGGACTGATTTTACCCACTCTACAATCGTGCATTTTTTTTGCCCCTGGGGAGAGGTAAGGGTAACCAATAAAGAGCATCCAAAAATAGTATTCCTCTTGAAAAGAAAAAGCATGAAAGCAAGTTACCAATGTATGAACAACTCCCAAGTTTCTATAAAAATAAGTCTTTGAAGGCGTTAGGATTAAGCTTTCAAAAAAAAAATAAAGGCGTTAAAAGGAAATTAACTTACTTGGTAGCCAACCCATCCTGGCTGACCACAGGCTAATTTTGTGTTTCAACCTCACCGCCAAGGAGAGAATTACAAGAATTTTGGTTTTTCCATGAAAATCAAAGCCCGTGATTACAGCAGCGAGCCGAAACTTAATGAAACCCATTTCACCGAAGCGTTTTTTCTTCTTCTACTTCATTTTGCGTTCATTTTCAGAGGTGTTCGCGGTAGGCGGAAAACCTCCCTTTCCGCCTCCACGGAAGGCGGAAAAGTCCCCTTTCTGGACTCCGTCTTTGAGGATGAAGGCAGGTGCCCTGCCCACCTCAGATACACAGAGAGAACTGCTGACCCCTCGGGCAGAGGATTATTTTCGAAGCAGGAACTCTGCCTCCCAGCAATTGTAAACCACCAGGAGCCTTCGAACGGCTATCGTTCCACTTCTGGCCCACAGCAGGGATAGATGGGCTTTTATTGCATAAAAATGCACCATGTAAGCCCTGGCTGGCGTAGCTCCGTGGATTGAGCATGAGCTGTGAACCAAAGTGTCGCAGGTTCAATTCCCAGTCAGGCCACATGCCTGGGTTGCAGGTCAGGTCCCCAGCAACCGCACATGGATGTTTCTCTCTCTCTCTTCCTCCCTTCCCTCTCTAAAAATAAATAAATAAAATCTTTAAAAAAAATGGCAGCTTAGAGCAGCCAGGTGAAACCTTCCATCATGAAAGGCACGGGAGTGATGTTGTGTCTCACGGTGTTCATTAATATCACGGCGCGTCCTGTTTCAAATACAGCTAAGTCTGCAGGCAGGCGAGAGGCTGGCTCCCAATCAGGGAGCAAACAAGTGATTCAGTTACGTCTCCGGAACCCGGTCTTCGCAGTCAGCTGAGCAGCTGGGGGATGCACCCAGAGGGCTCACGGGCGTCTAACGCAAGGGGACGGGTAAACCTGGGGGCATCGTGACTGCCACACCCAATACGTTCAACAATCACTGGCTAATGGAACAGATACTTATCAGATTCCACGGAAGTGTTGAAGTAGCCAGGGAGTGGGAACTTAATAAAATGATAGCAATAATGTGGTGCTGGAGGGTTCTAGTTCTGGATGCAATGTCATAGAAGAGATTAATTCGCACTCAATGTGACCATAGCTTCGAGAAAAGCTACGTAGCATCATGTCCCACGGCCCAAACTAAACCTTCCTTTCCAAAAACCAATGGGACAGTACTTGGTGCAGACTACCCAAGACATAGACTCGCAGGAGCTCATAGTGGCAAACCGCGACGCCAAAGCTGGCAGCACCCCTTCCTAGCATCTCCTGCAACGTCCTGGAGCACCAATCCCCACGGCGCCTTCAGACACAGCGGGTCCCTCGCGCCAGGAACAGCAGAGCCACCTGCCGGCCGACCGTAACCACGGACGCGGGGACACGACGGACCGACCCCACCTGTGCCGGGGTGGGGGTGGGGAGGCGCGGGCTGGGCGGGCATCCGACACTGACCTCTGGCGGAGCGGAAGTGCTTGCTGGGCGCCGTGAAGCCCCGGGTGCCGTGCACGTTGACGGCGGCCACGCGGAACTGGTACCACCTGCTGGGCCGGAGGTCGGTCAGCTGGGCCCGCTCGTCGGTGGTCTGGGGGCGGGGGACACGGAGCACAGAGAGACCTTTCGTTCAGACGCGACGGTGGCGTCTGCTTTAAAAATACACTCGCTCACCGGCCGAGGCGACTCAGCCTTGACCTCCCCCGACCCTTCCGGATGAGGGGTCCCATGCTCGGTTTAAGGGGAGCCATCAGCCCTCGGAGAACTTGTGGGGGAAGTTTCAGTCGCCCCATTCTGTTCACTGATATTTCACCCCTATTCTGTTCACAGACAGTTCGCCCCAAAGACTGGTACACTCAGGGATCTCTGCACGTCAAAAACCTTTTGACAAATGCTAGGGCTATTTTTAAACCTGAGGACTGAATCAGTCAATTATTCACAGGAGCGAATATACGTGTGAGCTCATCATGACATCAGAGACAAGAAAATGAAATCGCCTTCAGCTTACTCAAAGGAAGTGCTTCTTTAACTGGAGTGGCTGGTATAACTTGGGACGTAGGTATGAGAAGCCAGGCACTAAGACAGTGCTAACCCTTGCTGGAACTCCACTGCAGCCCAAGACTTTTTTTTTTTATTTGAATATATCATGTAAGGAAGGCAAGGTGTATTCCTATACCTTCATCCAATAAAAAGTCCAAAGATAAAAGTGGGCCCTCGGGGATGATCCATGGCCTTTGCTCTCTATACCGACACCGTCCCCAGCAATATCAAGTACTGGTGGCAGTGCCCCCGCACCCCACCTGCATCAGGCTAAGGGGACAGGCACCTGCTTCCAACACGTTCTATACGGCACGTGACAATGTGGGCTGTGAATCCCAGGAACCAACAGCTCAGTGATACTAGTGCTGAACTCGACGTGGGCTCGGGGCATGAAAATGAGGAGGTAGAATCGAACTCAACCCTCTCTCCATTTGTGGTCACTTACTGAAAGGGAAGTCACGTTTGCTTTCGTATCTCAAGGAAGCTAAACATTTCCGAGACCAGAGAGACGCTAGGAACCCTGAAACTCGGGCTTTTAGCCTCATTGGCCAGGATTTCAGATAACACCATCACCGGCTTCACCATTCAGAGTTTCAGCCCTGAGTCTGAAACCTGAAGTCAGCATGATAGCCACAGCGCTGAGCAGCCAAAGAAACAAAGTATCCCACGTGCTAACTATCCAAAACAATGGATACAACAATACTTCCGGATATTTTTCCCTCTCTGGAAAAACACAAGGGATGAAAGAGATATCACCAGTTCCTTTCAGAAGTCTTAAAAGAATTTAGAAATGTACAAATGATATTGGCCCATTGCTTAAGGGAGTCTACTGTGAAAATCGACTAGAGGTTTAGGCTGAATTCTGAGCATCTGTATGTTTTACTAAAGCCATTTTTTTTCTTTTACAAACCACATATAGAATGACTCAATTCATTTGACCAGGGGTCCCCACCCCCCAAGAACTGAATGTATCTCTTTTACACCCAACTTCTCATTTATCTTGGGGTCTTTAAATTATTGTAGTGTTTATCCTTTTTGGGGATGGTGTGATTCATAAAAGCACCAAATTTCTCTCGTAAATAGCGGAACACTGAAATTTACTTTCTATTTCCTGAGACACGAGCGTGGGAATGTAACCCTCGGGGGAAAAGCACGTGGGACTGTTCCCGGCAGAGGCCCGTGTAGAGAAAGCGTTTGCGTTGTGGACAAGCACGAAGCAGTTTCCTAGGGAGAATTTATTCTTTCCCTGTCTCCTGCGGTTCCCTGGCAGCTGGTAGTCCACTTAACAGCTCTTAAAAAGAAAGACAATATTTTGCTTTTCTCCCCACCACACAGAGAGGAAGCGGCTGCTGAGGTCGCCGCGGGGTGCCGCGGATCAGGTGGCCCGCTGCCCGGGACCCGATGGAAGCCCTCGGCACAGGCGTGTGAGCTGCCGGCTCCTTCCCACCCGCTCTGCGGCGACAGGAATCTCACCCACGCCACTCACGTCCTTGTGTGGAAGGAATAAGGGCTCAGCTTAGGAGGAAGGGAAGGAGTCCTTCCCGTGATCAAATATCACACGGACTAAGGCCCAAGTGGCTTGCATTTCCTTATCTCCAGCTCTCGGCCGGAGTTCATGCGAACGCTCAGATGAGAAAATGATCTCCTTTCAGGCAAAGCCAGCCGATGGGCAAGTCTCTAGGTGTATCGGGTTCTGTGTACGGGGGTCACACTGTCTTCCGCAGACGTACTCACGATAAGCCCCCGCCGGCGTCATTTCAGGCCGTTCTGGCTGTCGTCCAGCTCTCCAGTTTCCTGTCTGCAGGTGTGCAATGGACATGACCTCCCGGAACAGCGCACCAGGCACTCACCTGGGCCACCGTCTGCCAGGGCGTGGCGTCATCCTCACTGGGGTGGATCCCGTAATTCCACCGCCTCTGCACCACGTAGATCACGGGCTCGATGGAAACGTTGAATTTGGAGGACCACCTGATCTCCAGCGGCCCGGTCTGCAGCTCCGCAAACCGTAACTCCTTCCGGGGCTTCAGGGGCACACCTGCAAGAGGACCACCTGCGTGACCGCCACCTGCACGGGACGCACGCGGAGGCGCGGGGGCGGGAGGAGGAGGAGGAGCTATGGACGGGTCTCCCCCCATGACCAGGATGCTCAACTGGCTTTCATAAACGTGGCTCCTCCCCTGGCTGGCGTAGCGCAGTGGATTGAGCGCGGGCTGCGGACCAAAGCATCGCAGGTTCGATTCCCAGTCAGGGCACATGCCTGGGTTGCAGGCCATGGCCCCCAGCAACCACACATGGATGTTTCTCTCTCTCTCTCTCTTTCTCCCCCTCCCTTCCCTCTCTGAAAATAAATAAATAAAATCTTAAAAAAAAAGAAGTTTGTAAGACAGAATAGTTTTATTGGTTGACAGTAGAACCTCCCGCAGTGGAAAAACCATTTCTGGTGAGAATTCCAGATACGATGAAAGTCCCCAAAGTTAATGGAGGATCGGTCTTAATCCAGAAGTAGCTCTCTATTCCTTTTAGGCCAACGAAAACAAAACTTGCCCAGAGGGATGAAAGTCCACCGTCGTGTGCACAACACGACGATCCTGTGTCACTCTTGCACGCTAGGTGGGCAGGCGGCCACCAGACGCACATTTGCACCAGCAGGTGTGCACATCGGGGAAGCGAGGGCGGCCCGAGCCCAGTGCCTGGGTCACCCGCTTCCCGTGGTCGCAGTAAAAGGTGACCGCTTGCCTGTGTGACCTCGCCCGGCACGCTCCCCGAGAGGGCACGTCCGTCTTTCCCATCCGCTGTCCCGTGAACCATCCTCCCGCGTAAACCCAGGCCCCGCCCACGCCCCAGCTGCGGAGGGGGCCGGAGCGCGGCAGGCGCAAACCCACACGGCTGAGTCCCGCGGCTCCGGGGGTTTCATCTGGAATCCCCACCCACCCACCCTTGAGAGCCTTAATGGACTGTGACCAGCATCAGGGCAATGTCAGCTCCAATGTCTTCATCTGAAAATCTCCTTAATTGTGACGAGCCTCGATCCTGCGATGCGCGGGTGGAGGAACGGTCCATCTGCTTCGCATTAGCTTCCTTGATTGCGAGGAACTCCCGCTCTCGGCGGGAGTCACGTGCAGCTGGGGCCCAGGAGGCCCCCCCCCAGGCCGTGCCCCCCCTTCCAGGCCCCACGGCGCAGCTCCCCACCGCGTCTGCCGGTCCCCGCCAGCATCCAGATTACATAAGCAGATGTGCGAGGTGGAGCACTCCGCAGCTGCTTGCCAGGAGGTCGCGGGCCCGAGCGGTTCTTCTTTATTACTTCTGAGCACATCCATCATCCGCAACCCAAACTCTTCCGCGCAAGAGTCAAAGCTACTGTTGCACAGCAGACCACGCCACGTGGAGGACACAGACGCAGTGTTTTCCTCGAGAGGGCGGCGTGCCTCTTGCTGAAACCCCAGGGACAGGAACCCAGTGCTTTCAGAAATGTTGCAAGTTCTACTGATAGCGCGGAGAGAGGATAGGCCCCCGGCAGTTGCGGGTCACCAGGAGGCTCCTTTATGTGTAGCAAAATCTCTCATACGATGATACATGTTACAAAAATGTAGCAAGACACAGTGTTGCGAAGGCTCAGCAGTTAAGGATTCTCTAATATTTCTCCTAAACATAGCCACGACTCCAGCAACTTGGGTTTTCATCACACAAACGCATTTTGCCTGATCACTTTAAAAATGTTAAACGTCCTGGCTGGCGTAGCTCAGTGGATGGAGCGCAGGCTGCGAACCAAAGCATCGCAGGTTCGATTCCCAGTCAGGGCACATGCCTGGGTTGCAGGCCACGGCCCCCAGCAACCGCACATGGATGTTTCTCTCTCTCTCTCTTTCTCCCTCCCTTCCCTCTCTGAAAATAAATAAAATCTTTTAAAAAAATGTTCAACGTTAACTGGTGAAACGTGGTCTGAGTCCATCTCCCAAGGCCTGAGGTTTGAATGTTTCCCGTATTAAGAGGTCACAGGCACATTAAATCAACACCACTGCAGGTTCTTTTTGAGAAGAAACACGCGGATGCGTGATTCGTCCTGGGCGTGGGCACCACAAAGGCCAGGTGGACATAACCGAGAGCCACACACGGACGTGCATCTCTCCACTTGGCATTTGCACTTTCCTCCTTCCCTCCCCAGACCCAGGGCCACGGCTGGGTCTCCGGAGAGGCCGCCGTCTGGGCAAGAAAAGAGTAAAAACGCATCGTCCTCTGGACGCAGGAGAGTCTAAGCCACACACCAGAACGAGGAGAGGAAAGGAGGGAACGGGAGGGAAGCGGAGTCAGCCAAGGGGCAACAGTTGATGGTTTACCTGCGTGAGATCAGCCTTTGAACCCTGCACACGGGCCCAAGGCGTGCGCGCAGCCGCACTGACACGCTCACGGCTTTGAAGGCACTGCTGCTGCTGCTGCTGCTAACTTCCCGTGCTGGCAGAGTCAAGAAAGGGCTCCCTTTGCCGTGCCTTTCCTTTGCCGCAGGCGACGCCCCCAGCCTACAAAGCGAGCTCACGGGAAGGCGTCCGCTGAAGACGGTGATGATTGCAGACACCCCCAACCCCAGGCTCCGACCTGACGGAGCAGTGGGTGGGTCCTCTTATCCAAAAACGCGCTTGGTTTTCCAAGCTCCCGTGTCTGGCGTGGGAAGCTGTTTGCCGCGGTGCCGTGCACAGGCCCCCGGCCACCCTGCTGCCAACACGGGAGGCCACATGGAAGGCACGTGTGGGTCGCTATCTGGTGGCATTTTCTCCGAGACGAGGAGCAGGAAGAAGAGAAACCGGGCGGGGGGTGCTGCGTGTTTGTGTCCTGCGCAAGTTAAAAGCATTTTTACGCATGCAAGCAAGGGTCGTGGGTCTGACCCCTGGATGAGGAGCGAGCGCATAGCATGGGGGGCGAAGTCCCATTGTCTCGGCACCCCCATTTACGTGTCGAAAACCAGCCACACGTCCGTGATTTTAGCAGATGGAAGTGTCCGGTGGGTGCTGAGACCTCTTTCAATGGACCTGCACTCCATCATCCGAGGACGCCCGAGGGCCCTGGATGTTTAGGGTCCCATTTGCATCCCTCCAACCACCACGGAAAATAAAAATGGCAGGAGAGCTGCCTCACGGAGGGCCGGGGCAGGGGGGCGGTGGGGGGAGCTGTGTCCCTACGTCCGACTCCCAGGTCCCCTGAGACACTGTGTGCAGCCTCAGCTCTGCGCTGGTTTAGCGGAGAGCAGGACCGATCACTGAACCAATAAGCAAGCTCCCCTCCCCTCTGAGCAGGTGCACTGCGCGGACCTGGCGCGCAAGCACCGAGGAAGGCGAGCTGAGGGCACAGGTGTTGTTTGGGGCACTGGGAGGTGGCAGGGACCGTGACCGCCGGGATTGGCAGCACAGAGCTGGGCGCTGGGTCAGAAAGGACCCTCTCCTCCCGGAGAGCCAGGGAGCCAGAGGTTTGCAGAGTGAGCCAGTCGTGTGGCGGCTCCCAGTCAGAACTGCGGTGGGGGCCTCCCCACGGCTCAGCAGCGAAGACTGCTGTTGCAAGGAGCCTCCGGGTTGCACGCATGCGCTGAGTTGTGGGGAGGATGTGAATCCTGCCCGACTGCACCGGCTACTGTCCCGTCAGACAGTCTGTGTGTGTGAGTGTGTGTGAGTGTGAGTGTTCAAAATAGCAGCCAATCTTCCTCTCGCTCATCACGCAGAAGGCACGCTCACGCCAACCGACTCTGCTCCCTCCCTCTGTGGTCAGTGCTCCGTGCGTGGCCTCTCTCTGCCGAAGTCCAAGTGTACCCCCCTTCTCCAACAGCAGCACCTCCAAAAGCATCCGTGCGGGCTTCAGTGGAAGTATCTGTGACAGTGAACCACGGGTGCTGGCGGGCCGTTCGCGCCGGAGCTCCCGTAAGCTCCGTGAACCTGGCATGTTGGAAAGGCACCCTGCCCCTTCCACGCTTTTATAGACAAAGCCTGTTTTGAGTCCCATTCCCTCGTCCACACACCCACCTTTTAAATCGCCGAAGGCTTTGCAAGCGCGGGCTCAGCGATCATTCTAACAGCATCCCCGTTTTATGGTAAATGCTCGTGCTTGAGTAACCCACTATCTGCAATAACCGAACAGGTTTCGCCGTAATAGACCTACACGTTCAGTGGCGGGAGATTCTGCAGAAGCAATTTTCTCCAGTGCGTAACCAGAGGCAGGGAAACGACGTAACTGGAAATCCATTCAAGGAACATCCGTGCGTGAGAGGGGCAAGCGGGGACGCTTTTGAACGTGACACAGGGTGCTGAGGCCCAGTTTTTTTTTTTAAGGGAAACCGCGGGGATTACGTCGCGTGCAGGGGAGAGGGTGTCCAGGTGAGACCCGGGCGGAAGTGGGCGGAGCCTGACTTCCACGGGACGTGAAGGGTTACGTGGGGCGATGCCGTTTGATGCATCGCTCTCTGTCAAAGCTCGCCTGTGTTTGGAAATGATATGCATGGGTGTCTGTGAATGCACGGGCGAGAGAGAGAGGGAGAACTGGGGTGGAGATATTGCATTCTACCGGCAGTGAATAAACAAATAGCTAGCGATGGAGTCTCCCAGTTTCTTTTTTTTTTTTAAGATTTTATTTATTTATGTTTAGAGAGGAAAGTGAGGGAGAAAGAGAGAGAGAGAGAAACATCCATGTGTGGTTGCTGGGGGCCGTGGCCTGCAACCCAGGCACGTGCCCTGACTGGGAATCGAACCTGCGACACTTTGGTTCGCAGCCGGAGCTCCACCCACTGAGCTACGCCAGCCAGGGCCTGAGTCTCCCAGTTTCACTCTGCACAGTAGGCTCCGACGGGTAGCCAAGTGCTCCATGCCCCCTGCTGCGCTTTGAGGCCGATCAGAGCGGCACGGGCTACAACTGCAGCGGCTGGGCGTGCAAGAATGCCACTGCTCTGCGGAAGGCAGCGGACACACACTCAGCACAGAGGGCAAAGGGGTCCAGGAAACTGCCTGTGCGTGGGAGCTACCCCCTGGGCTCCGCCGTCCGGTAGACTGAGTCCAGTCTCCTGCAAGAGCGCCAGCCCTGCTTCTGGGGTCTCCTGATTCTCACCGGAATATTTAAAGTCCGCGTGATGCCACTCGTGGGCTCAGCCTATGCTGAGAGGAAAACACCAGCAGACTGGGGCACGGAGCAGGTTTTATTCAAGGGTGCCTCCGCCCAGCCTGTTTCCTGTGGACCCGAACGTGTGTGATTTCCCCTGTATCCGTGCAACCTAACCGATTCCTTCTGGCCAGAGAAGGCCATCTAAGATTTCCCTGGTGGAATACTGTCCTTCCTTCGTGTTACACTTGGAAGTATTAATAGGAAGTGTTGGCTCTGCTCCAATAGGAGTTCCTTTCCCCACTATGATTTTTGTGGTCTGTTAACCATGTTTTGGAAGTTGGGACTTACTGATTTTTAGAGAGAGGGGAAGGGAGGGAGAAACAGAGGGAGAGAAACATCCATGTGAGAGAAAAACATCGACTGGTTGCCTCTCGCACGTGCCCCAGCCGGGGATCGAACCCGCAACCCAGGCTTGTGCCCTGACCGGGAATCGAACCGGCGACCTGTCCCTTTTACAGGATGACGCCCAACCCACTGAGCTGCGGCGGCCAGGGCTGCTGGTCTGCACACGGGAACCCCGGGGAGCGTCAGGGTGCCCCCCCTCCACCCCCCGGGCCCGGCAGGCTCTCACCTTTGTACAGCGTCTTGGGCACCTGGCAGGTGTGCCCGCAGCCATTGGAGCAACACTTCTTCACGCCCGAGCACTCGCCGTCCACCTCGCAGCTCTCCACGCAGGCGGCCGCGAAGCCGCTGGCCCTCTCGGGCGCGGGACAGTCGCCCTGCTTGACGGCCAGGACGTACTGGAGGAACTCGCAGCTGGTCAGGCACTCGTAGTTCTTCTTGGGGAACCGGGGCTGCGGGGGACCAGGCACAGTTGTGCTGGGGACGGCGGAGAGCAGGCTCCGCACGGGACCCTGGGGGTGGCTCACAGACGCAATGTATCTGCTTTCCCTCCCACAGGAGCACAAGAGTGCGCGCTAATTTCCGAAAGCATGGTGAGCCCACCAGTTACAATGTTGCATGCAACACACACGGCACTCACAGCTCGTTACATTGTAACCGAGTTCACGGTGGTGCCAAACCACCAAAGTTCAGCCGTTGAAAACAAGCTCCGTGGGCTCTATGGAGGAGAATCCCTACCCCTGCATTCTCCAGGGCGGGGTGGGGGGTGGTTTCTGGAGGCCGTACACCGTAGCACCAGCCGTAACCCTGCAGAACCTGGGCATTGCTTCAAAGCCACGCCCACGTGGACATTTGGTGACCCAGGGGCGTCAGCCTCCGGGAGCCGAACATGGTTGAGTAACACCCGGAGTTTAGACTCGCTGGGCACGCGGGATCTCTGGTGGAGATGGAATCGCAGGGGAGCGGTGCCGTGGAAGTGTGGGGAGGCCTTTCAGGGCCACGGCACAGGCACTCCCCGGGACACCGCCGGGCTGGGAGGAGCACCGAGCGGATGACCTTTTGGTGCAGCTGTGGGCCACCTAACCGGTAGTGAGAGTGGGGATGCCTGGACTGGCAACAGGAGCACTTTGAGGGCCGGGTGTGGCTCACACACACGATCCCATAGCACAGGGGTCAGCGTGTGGTCATCGCCAGGACGTGTGTGTGGCAGGTAGCGGCCACGGGCTGGCTGCGGCACTGCCCGGGGGAGGGGCTGAGGCTCCCGGTGGCAGCTCTGCTCGGGTGAGGAGGGGAAACACTGTCTCCGTGTTCTGGTCCTTAGGTGCCCGACGTCTCCCCTAAGCCTCTTGGAAGGGCGTGGCCTGGCTAGCTGCCCTGCCCCAGTCACGCCCCTCGGAACCCATTCGCACCTGCAGCACACCTGTCTGGCCAGGGGACATCCCCCACCCCGGGGCTGCGCCCTAGCTTGGGTGGCGAGTGGTCGCTGGTGGGAGGAGGAGTGGTGCCACCGTGAGGCCCGGCCTGTGGGCAGTGCGGGGGGCAGGGTGGGGGGGGGGGCGAGGCCACAGCCCCAGGCACGAGGGCAGAGCCACAGGAGGAGAGGGGCGGGACGCCCACGACAGAGAGAGGACGGCACCGCCAGCAGCCTGACGATGGGTGGGACTCGGAGATGGACACAGAGGGCGCTTTCTCTTTACTGGGCGTCCCGTCGGGTCGGTGACACTAGAAATACACGGCGTGGCGCTGCCGGACACAAGCCCCGGCAGAGAACAAGGGTATCTGGGGGCTCGAGGCCAGCAGGCTGCCTGCGGCTCCACGCTGCTGAGTGCGAACGCCTGCAGACACCTGCGGACACTGGAGGACACTTATGGACACCTGCAGACACCTGCGGACACCTGCGGACACCTGTGCACACGTGCAGACACCTGTGGACACCTGCAGACACCTGCAAACACCTGCAGACACCTGTGGACACCTGCAGACACCTGCAAACACCTGCAGACACCTGCAGACACCTGCAGACACCTGCAGGCACCTGCAAACACCTGTGCACACCTGCAGACACCTGCAGACACCTGTAGACACCGGCAGAATCACACCTGGGAACACTTGCCAGTAGCCTGCTTGCAGCTTCTCACTGACGGCTGAACAGGACTCTCGGCCACCGGGTCCCACCTGGGTCCCACCTGCTCACACCTGCTCCTACCTGTGTAACACCTGAGCAGCACCTGGCAAGGCCTGCTGGTGTCCTGCCTGCTGCTCCCAGTGGTGACAGAGTGTGTCTCCCCACCATCCGGGGACACCTCGTAACACCTGCCCACATGCCGCCTTGCTACTCCTCTCTGCTAATGGATCGTAGGACCCCCTGGCCAGATGGGCAACACCTACGTGGCCCGGCAGGAGACAGGCTCGGGGGAGGGTTGGGACCGTCACCCAGAGAGCCGTTCACACGAGGCTAGAGACAATGACGGTTTAAAAAAGGAAAATAACGGCCTCCCCATGACCCACGTCCCCGTGGGAGGAGGAGGGTGCAGGGGGGAGGGGAGAAGATGAGAAATGTCTCCGACTCTATCCCCAAAAGCGGGCGAACCACAGCGCAGTATTTCTCCAGCTGGCGATGGCTGGGTGAGCCGCAGGAAACTCCGAAGAGGATGGCATCCGCAGGGGCACGTCCCAGTGATCAAGGGAACCCTGGGAACCCGTGGAAACCCGCAGAAACCCCAACACTAGCGTCAAGTATCCTCCCAGAATCCTCTGGTTCCTCTCTCCACACCATGCTGAATCAAAAACCCTGCATGTGCGTGAGCGTGGAAAACATCATGTCCTGCATGTTCGACCACCAGTTTTTAAAGAGCTATGCAAGCGCAAGAAAGGGCTGTGTCCCTCGAGCTGTGTTCGGCGCCCCATAGTGTTCTCTGACAGCCACGAGACTCCTTCTGACGTTGTACATTTAATGTAGGTCACAGCGGCCGCGCCCAAGGACAAGCAGACACAAGAGAAAGAGTTTATGCTGTTCAGCTAATGAACAACAGGGGGAAGCGTCCAAAAGCTACCTGGAAAAACTATAATATCCCCAGGTGTGAGTTAGCACTGTGGAGGTCAGATAAAACTGATTGTTCGTAATCGCTTATAAAATCTGAAAATGACATCGACTCACTGCGCTGGAATGGTGTCTCCATGTAAGGATTTTGCAGGCAGGACGTAGAAGAAAGACCTCAGCCTCTGTACTGAATTACCTCAAATGTGCAACTAGTTATATATTTTTTTAAAAATCTGTATAAACATTGAAAGCATCATTCGAGGCGTTCCTCCCGTGCTCAATTTCACAGTTCATGTTTCTGTTAGCTTTGGAACTCCTCAACTCAGGTCGAAACCCCCGCTAGCAATCAGGGAGGCACGCGGCGGGACCTGTGACCAAGGCCTGGCCAGCTTTCCCCGTGCCGCAAAATGTGCACATTGCGGGTACTGGAAACAGCCCTTCGTTACCAGACTCCCCGGCCCGTGACCCTGGGCTGAGATTCCCAAGGAAACCATCGGACGAAACCTGGCCAGCCTTCCGGGCTCGCTGACTTGGAAACGCCAGTGCCTGCGTGTGCTCCAAGGTATAATCACAGCAGTTCCGTCCAAAACGTCTTCTCGCTGGAAACAGGGCGTGACTGCAGGCTCACCGACAGCAGCACGGGGCCAGGGGGTGGGGGGGGCCTCCGTCCTCGTGATTCTAATTGCCTAGTCCCTGCCAAGCACCGCACCCTTCCTCGGAGGAGGCAGAGAAGGGATCTCCTCCTCTTAATCACCGGCTGAGCCAACGGGGCCACATTAAGAAGGAAAAAAAAAAAAACAAGCAGAGACGGGCTTAGGCTGGCCACAGGTGCTCCGAGAATGTGCAAAAGAAGCATCGTCTCATTAGTGCCATCGCGCCCATCTCCCAGGCGACCCAGAGCTGGCTGGGTGTCTCTACTCACTATTCTCCTGTTTGGCATGGGTTCCACAATGGGGCATGACGGTCGTGATGGTGAGGGCCGTGGAAGGAAAAACGGTCCTCTGGGCACGGGAGCTCTCCTCAGGCGACACGTGAGCGTGAAAGGATGTTTTTAAACACTCATGAGGCGTGTTACGTGAGCTCATGCGTACAAAGGGCTACGTGCTGTTGTGTGACCTGGCCCACGGCAGCTCCTCAGTGGGAGTGGAGTGAGCGGTGTCTTCCCCACCCTCCTACAGTGCTACAAGTTTACTGTTTAATGTTTCTTAGTTAACTGGGTTCTCGGTTCTACCTACTGAAGGCAAATTTCGCTGCTTCCTACAATGGCCTTGGGTAATTCTCGTGAGCCGGGCTGAAGGAATACATCAGTGGTTTGGGTGTCACTGGAAAACATGTCGTGTCTGCACACGGGACTTCCGCCATGCCTTCAGTGAAAGCTTCGTGAGCATTTCCCAGCTGAACGGAGTGAGGACCAAAATGCACACAGGTCAGAGACAACGAGGGAATAGGAATATTGCAGACCTAGAGGAAATGGGTAAAGGGGTCCCTGGATAGCCCGTTGGCCACTCTGTCATGAACTAAAGGTCATGTGGGTATCAGAAGACAATTGTGACCACTGAGGATGCACTATTTCCTGCGATGTGAGAAGGGAAGCGCTCGCAGACTTGTGGGGAGGGAGGGGTGCCCCTGTTTGGGGAAGCTGAAAGTTCTTGGAATCATTGTGAGTATGACGCCCATGGACTTCATGGTAAATACAAATACACATGGCAACACAGACGCGTGTCTACAATATCCAGTTCCTTGTTTATCCAAGGATGTCCGGTCTATTAGGGCACGTTATTCATCACGAAATGGATGGGACTACCATTTCTTGGTAAAACTATCCCTCGGGACCATCCCACGAATCACATCAATGGCAACTTTGGCCAGCTCGCTGGCTGCAGTTTAAAATGGGGACACACTGTGGCTACGATGGTCATGAATTTTTGCTTTTTCTGCCCTTGCTGCATGTGACACAAAGAATGGGATGGACTTCAAAGATTGTGTATTTTTCTAGAGTCGTTAGTATGTAACGGGTGTCATTATGCACCCAGAGAAGTCAATAAAACTAAGTGGTGAAAGGAAATACCCTTGGGTGCATTCGATGAAATGAAAATCCTTCATACTGTAATTAACACAATGTGTAATATGGGTGAGTGCTTATAAATCTCTCCTGCATCTCATCTCTTAGCTAAAATGCTGACGTGTTCTTTAGTGGCTTATCTGAGCAGTGTGCCAACTCAAATGACCTGTGGCGAGTGATCAAAATAAAATACTAACAGTGGTAGGTAACAGCTTTTGGATGCTTTCAAAAAAAATACCACTGTCTTCATTTTGACTGCTGCAAATGAGCGGTATTGTGCCATAAAATAATGTCTGCAGAAATCACGGCACGATGAATATAAAAACATCAACATCAGTACATCAGCTTCA